CTATAACTGCTTTGATTCAAAATTCAGAATAAAGAAAGTATTTTGTAAAAAAAGATGACTATTTAATATTGCAAAACCCTTAATTAAATGAAAAAGAGATAAAAGAGCGATAGCTACTATTGTCATGTCAAAAGATCTAATTAGCTCAAATGAAATTGGCATTCCATGTATACATAATGCAATCAGTAAATAACTAAAAACTTAAATTATGGAGACAACCTAAAACCTATAAATTTTTTTTGAAAAAAAGGTTAAAATTTAAATTCAACAATAACCCATCATTTTTCAACCAACAAGAAAGTATAAAATGAAAAGACAACACCAACTTACATTAAAATGAAGCCATGTTCCCTCACACACTATTTCGATTGACATAAGTGAGTAAGAAGGATAGAAAATCAATCCAAAATCTCATAGGATAATCAAAACTAAAGCAAAATACACATATCAAAATCAAGAGCGCAACAAAATCTAAACAATAGAAAGCATAAATAAGGATTAAGGGCTTACTGGAATGAGTAACTCGGTGTCGAAAAAGATGAAATACATAAGAATCATTACAGGTGAGAGAAAAAGGAAATAAACCAAGTTTTATACTTAATGAAGAAACTAAAAATAAGAAAGAAGAAGGTACATCGAGGACCTCCCAAATGATTGACGAAGCAAACCTTAATGATGGAGTGGCACCGATGTGCAATGATTGGTGAAATGAGAGCTTGGGAGGTCAATCACAATAAAAGGATGAGCAAGGGGCAAGAGAGGGATTTTACTTTAAGTCTAGAAAAAAAAAAAATCCCATCCCGAGTTGTCCCATGGAGGAGAAGGGATAACTTTTATCTCATTAGGTTAGGATTGGACAAAAAGCAGGATAATCCTTATCCAATCCACTAGCATCCCCAAACATAGGATATTAGCCTATCAGAACTAATTTTTATTTCATCCCATGAATAGTCCAGGGGTCAAACGTGATGTCAAGGGCACATTTGGAGTGTCGATCAAATACAATGTGGGATAGGACAAAATTTATGTTCGGTTCTAACGTGTCTCATGTTTGGTGGCATGAAAGGATGGGATATAATATATCCCATGTTTTATCAAATCCTTAATTCCTTTGACAAAAGTTATCCCACCTCTCCCATGGGATTGGGTGGGATAAGATTAGATTTTACTTTTGTACTTGTCCTTTTTCTACCCCATGATTCTCTACTCCGACACAACATGTCATGGACTTCGACTCCAACATTGCTTTGTTCATCCTATCGATTCTGGCATTGCTTTGCTCATCCTACCACCATCAATTTCTTTCATTCAAGTCTCTGATAATCTATTTCTTTATCTTCCGCCATAGATCTTGATTCTCCTAAGTCTCCCATTATCCCTTTCATCATCTTTCGTTACCAATTTATCCCATTTTCATTAATCTCAGATCTTGTCCATTTTCTTAAGTCTCAGATCATCCCATTTCATTTCTTTTCCTCCAAAAATCAAAAGGCTCAAATTTATCCCCTCATCTCTATCACTTGACGAATGCTCCAATCTCGATTTCTTTATCAATTGTTGCCTATTGCGCCCTATCCTTATACATTTTGGTATGTCTCCAATATTTGCTTTCTCTTTTTCCACTACTGAGAGTAGTCCTTTTGCTTCTCAAACAAAAATTGGTGTTAATATACTGTTTGAAGCTGGGAAAGGAACTCTAGTTTTCTCATGAGGAAAAGAAGAAAAGGGAAACTACTAGAGAGGAAAAGAAAAGGGAGGAAAATGGAGAGACAAGTGCAGTCGTGAACATCCTATGTAGATGGACGTGTTTGGGGCTCGAGAAAATGAAAAATGCAGGCAAAGTTTGAAACAATTTATCAGTATGCTTTTCAAAGGACGAAAAATTTAGTACTGGTTTTCTTTTTTTAATAAGAAATTGAATTTTATATATAAGAAATTGAATTCTAATGTTCAAGGTATTTTTGTTAATACAGCAAATATTTTTACCCATTCTTGTCTTTATACAACAATCAAACAACCATGTGATTGAATTCTAACATGTCCAACCCTATCTAATCCAATTTAATCTTAATCCTTTGAATCATTTCACATCCATCCCAATCTTGTATATCAAATATGATTTATATATAAATATAAGTGAGTAAGAATACGAAAGGATATAGAGAAATCTAACTGTAAATTAGACTGAAAAAGAGAGTGAGGTATTCGTTGAGTTTAAAATTAATTTAAGTATATGTAATAATAATTTATTAAATTAAAAATAAAAGGCCTCAAAATAAAATATATCAATAAATATATAGACATAGAGATTAATTAAAAAGAAAATATATAATTAAATGTCCTTTTTAACTTCAACTCACCTTTTCAACTTCATATTTAATAATTAAATGAGAAAATATTTTTAACTAATTAAGGCATTATAAGATTGAATGAAACCCCTTATTTATTTATTACTATGAAATTTATTTTTCAAGCAATTCATTTATATTTTTTTTAGATTGTTAAATGCATACTCTAATTAATCCATAAGATAATATTCTATATAATATATAGATATAGATATAAATAGATTTTTAAATATTTAGATATTAATTTTTATTTTCTTCATTTAAATTTTTTTAAATATTTAGATCTTTGATCTTCTATATTAAGTTAATATTGCCTCTTTATTTAGCACATTTTTTCATCAATTATTTTTATCATTTATAATTTTTGTTTATTTACTTCTTCATTAACTATTTTCATTATCATTTATAATTTTTACATATTTTTATTATTTATAATTTTTTAATTTCATTTTTTTTTTAAAAAATTAATTAAACACATATCTTATTAAATTTATATGGTAACATTTTATATAAATTACCCTAGATAGCATTACCCTATATAGAATATAGACATAGATAAAGAATATGAATAGTAATTGATACAAATTGGATTCAATATATTGTATAACATATTTATTAAAAAAATTATTATTTTTAATCTAAAATTAAAAATAAATTTAATATGGTTGACGCTGGTGGTGGCCCACATTATCTGGACAGACGTCGTGACTCCTTTCATTCAACTCCCACGATTCCTGCTAATTCGCTCCCCAGCCTTCGTTTCTCTGTTTCAAAAAATGCGTGTGTTTTCTCCGCTGCAAATACCGGCATCCTTGACGCCACTGAAGCAGCGGCTATTCCTTTACAATCTTCCGACCTATCACCACCACCGCCAGTGGCGGCCAGAATCACTGACAAAGCAGCTCCGGTTGCTTCGTCCTCCTCCGCCTTTACGCACTTTAAAATGTTTCTCTCAGAGGCAGTCGACTCAGCAGCAAGAATACGAGTTCGAGAGGCTCTTTTCAAACCTAAACCAAGCTACATTAAAGAGAGAACCTGGTATTTCAATTTTTCTTCCATTTTCAGTTCATTAATTATTCCCGAGCTCTGCTGGAATCTTATTCTCCTCTGCACTCTGCAGGAAGTTTATCCAGTGCGATATTCCTTGTGGCGGGAACTACGGTTTGGATCTCCTCTTCTCTGCTGTCCATTGTTTTATTTTGAATCGTATGTTTACTCTTCATCTGGTGTTGAATCTGTAGATAGGTGCTGGAATTCTGGCGATTCCTGCAGTCACGCAAGAAGCTGGGTTTCTGGCGTCTGCGGTTGCGTGTATTTTTTGTTGGATTTTTATGGTAGAAATCTTCGTACCAAATTTCAGTGAAAATTTCTTATCTTATGCTCAATCTTATTGTGAATGACTTAGTTTGCTGGAGAAAAAGAAAATTAGAATGAAAAGGGTGCAAAAGGAAAAAGGAAATCTTTTTTCTCACCAATGAATGTGGCTAATTAGGACAGAGAAACCAAATATGGAGATAAGAGAAACCATTTCTTTTCACTTTTTTGGTAATGGATGAAATATGAATTGGTGCAGGTTGTTACTGGGCTGCTTATTGCTGAAGTAAATGTGAACACTATGTGTGAATTGGGTTCTGGTGGAGTGTCATTGGTAATTTCTCTAATGTTCGATTTTCTTATTAATTGAATAACTTGAGTTGGCTTTATTGACTAAGAAGCTCTTTCCTTTTCCATGAGAAAGAAATTGATATCTAGTTAGCAAAACTATCAGAATACCTACCATGTCCATGTGTATGTAAACTGTTGATTCCTAAGTCCTTGATTGTTTATGTAAATCTTGACCTTGATAGTTTTCTATATTGTGAATTTCATGCTGTCAATTTAAAAACTAAGTTTGATTTACCTGTTAATGATACTACAAACCAACTCCATCTGACATACTCTAACGTTTCTTTTCTTTATTTCAGGTATCAATGGCCAAGAGAACTCTTGGAGCAGTTGGAGTTCAAATTGCTTGGTATGCTGATTGGATCCTTTTACCTTGTACATTTCTGCTGCTTGGTGTATGATGTTTGAAATGCGTTTTGAACTGCACCATGTCATGCAACTTATAACATGTTAATACATATGCAAATTCTAGTACACATGCCATGCGAGTTGCCACCTCTTCTCACTCAAGTTATCTAAACTTTGCATATTATGTGGCCTCATATTTTGTCAAACTGAGACATTCATTTTTGTTGTCTACTTGTGTTGCAGCTGGTCATATATATTTATACATTACGCTCTTCTTGTTGCCTATGTCGCTCGTTCTTCAGATATTTTGACGAATTTTCTCAACATTCCATTGTACGGATCATAATTCTATTTCTACTTTTGTTATGTGCCTTAGCCTGAAACCATATACACATATTTTACTGATGAGAACTCATCAATTTTTGTGCGTCATGTCCAAAACGGAGTTTTGCTTGCATGTTTCTTAGGTGTTGATGGGCAGCATTTGATTGCAGATGGGAGAGTGCAACACTGTTCTCATTGGTCTTTGGAGGCATATGCTACTTTGGAAGGTTGGTGTTTTCTTGCAGAAATGTTAGTCTGTTAATGTATCCTGGATTATGTCATATCAATATCTTGTTACCAAATGCTACATCAGTTCACGTGGGACATGATTTGAGGAGTCTGCATTGCTCCTTAACTCTCATTCCAAGTGGACTGGGAAACACTATTGGGTTTTTGTTTCTTTTTTGCGATATATTTGCACAGTAGTTCTCTTCATCTGGAAATTTGAGAATGGATTCCAAATACGGATGTAGCATTGTATAATTAACATACACTAAAAAAATTATAGTTGAATACTTGAGCTCCTTTCTTATTTTCAGTGATTGCTGCATTTTATGAATTATCTCAGCTATTGGTTGATGAAAATGATAAAATTGATTGTATCCATACTTTGAACTGTAGCCAGCGCTTTATTGGTGCCGTTAATGGGGTTCTTGTGTTTGGAATCATCATATCTTTCGCTGCTCTTGTGGTAATTCTCTAACCTTTAATTTAAATTCCAGCATCTTGGATATATTTGGATGCTAATATAAACCAACATTCTCATGAGGACTTTCAACTGCATCACCAATCCAAAATAGAATTCTTTTTCTGAATCTGATGAGGATGATGAATGGCCGCAATGGTAAATATTTGTCTTAAGCCATAACTTATTTCCAAAAAACAAGAATAAAATTTGCAACTTTTAGAATAAATGTCTAAATGCCATAGGGTACTGTGACATTAGAACACCAGTTATCTAGTCTGGTGTTCCAGTTCCCACCATGTACTGTCATTCTTGTTTCCAAAAATTATGTTTTTTAATTTCTATAGGCAAATTATTTTCTGTTCATACCAGCAAGTTTTCTTTCTTAGGTTGTTGCAAGTGGAGACCTGCAATGGGATGCTCTTTTGAAAGCCAACTTTGAAGCTGTTCCTATGAGTATACCCATAATTGCCCTGTCATTCGTCTACCAGGTAAGATCTCCAAGCTGTAGTAATTTTAAATTGAAGCAGTTCTAAATTTTTATTTCTTCATTGACCAGAATGTAGTACCCGTTCTTTGTACCAATCTGGAAGGAAACCTGTCAAAAGTAAGGTGACAAATCTGACCATCGCACCTATTGTATCTTTTCTTTTCTTATAATCTGTCATTTCAATGCCTTCTGAAACTTACTCCATAAATCATCAACGTGGTTTTTGCAGGACTGCTATTGTTCTAGGCACAGCTATACCCCTTGGCTTATTTCTTGTCTGGAACGGCGTTATTCTAGGATCTATAACAAATCTTGAGATGAGCTCAGATACGATGATTGACCCATTGCAACAATTACGTTCTAGTAATGGACTTGTTGGGGTAAGTTCTCAGGACAGTTTCGTGAATGTTTGACCTAAATTTCTAAGTAAATTTGTAATAAATTATTTGAAGTGACACTATTTTTGCTTTCTAAATTGATGTTGCAGCCAATAATTGAGGTCTTCTCACTCCTTGCAATCGGGACATCTTATATTGGTTTTGTTCTGGGCCTTTCTGACTTCCTTGCTGATTGTAAGTTTCCCTAAACCTCATCAGACAAAGATCAACAATTTTCAGTCTCCATGTGTAGCATCTAAAGCGTTAATGAGTCTAGCATCTAGGATTTCATCACAAGTCCATAAGCTTTGCATTTATGGTTCCTGTTATTCAGTCTCAAGTCAAGTGCCAAGGTCATATATTTCACTGGAACAGCATAAATATGCCATGACAATGAAGCATTGTGTTCGGTGGATTTTACTAAACAAAGTTTATTTCAAAAGCATCTCGAACAAAATAAGACTTTGTAAACCATATATCTTGTGCAGAACAATTACATATGGTAGACTTGGTTTTAAGATTATGCTTTGATTTATAATATTTACCATTTTTTCCTCATTTTCCAAAATTCAGTACTTAATCTACCAGCTGGTCAGAATAAGCCTCTGCCCTATCTCTTGACTTTGATTCCTCCACTGGCACTAGCTTTAATAGATCCAGAGATATTTTTCAAAGCATTGGATTTTGCAGGGACATATGGAGGTACTCATCTGAATCAATTTCATTCAAGATTCAGATTTTCTTTTAATTATCCAGATTTACATGATGTATTTACTTCCATGCCAGTATTGGTGCTGTTTGGAATATTTCCTGCTGCAATGGCTTGGTCAGACCGGTACTCTAGTGCTTCATCCTCTATAAAACTACCGGAGCTTGTTCCAGGAGGAAAGCTTACCCTTTCTCTTGTGGTCGGAGGTGCAGGATGGGTTATTTTGTCAGAGTTAATTGAGAACTTCGGGCATCAGTAAACGTTTCCATTATCATTTTGGCTGGGGTATCACATCCTTTCCTGACTAGCCTCCTGTAGACTTCCAGATCAACGCGCGCTGGGTTCAATCAGAACAAGGTCTTACAGGTGCCTGTATCCTAGCCTGGTTAGTGGTTAGTCCGTAAGTTCCGGAGCAAGAAAAACTCTGGTCCAAGCTCAAACCTGTCAAAATAACTACTATTTAAATTCTTTTTTTATATTGTAGGAATAAATAGACCTGAGATCGAGTTGCTCCCAGGTTCAACTTACCACCAGTAATTGTTCCAGATCCATTTTGAAGCAAGTTCCAGATAATTAAAGACCATATTGAAGTTGAAAAAAGATAGAGGGATAAAGGTTTCAGTCCAACTTAAATGCATTAAAAATACTTAGATAAAAGTGAACAGATGTTCATACTATTAAATCAAAGTCACAAGTCTTGATTTTAACTAAGATTAGATGAAGGTTTTCAAGGACTAACAAGGGTACATTCAAAAACCCTCTTTGAAAAAAATACCAAAATGAAAAGGTTGCACCATAAAATGGTTCAGCAAAACATCACAAAATGCTCGGATTTAGGATTATAATCTTATGGTAACAATACAAAACAAAAACAATGTACTGGAAAGTAACTTGAGGAAAGAGGATATATTGATGCCAAAATTGGCTAACACTAAGATCAGTGCAATAGAAGAAATGCTTTCTATATTTTGTTGAAGGCAACGATGTCACAACTCTGGACAAACTCGTTGCAGGGCTCAACTGTGAGGTGTTCCTCTATGAGAGTATCCACAGAGACAAGGTCATCAACAATGGTAAGCATGATCTGCAGCTTCTTAATGCCATAACCAACTGGAGCAAGTTTGGCTGCATGGATTAAATGACATAAAATACATGCATCAGAACTACAAGGTAAATAAAGGTAGAACAAGGAACATGCTTAAACAGATGGAATGCTTAAACCAAACCGTACATGCTCCCCACAGTAGACCAGGCATTTCAACACTCCGGACAGCTTCTTCCAACTTCTTCATGTCAGTCTCATCATCCCAAGGTTTAATATCCATAAGGATGGAAGACTTTCCACCTATAAAATTGATCAATCATCAGAAAAGAACAATCATTCAGCTTTTTACAATATAGCCACATATCCAAACAATCAATATACTAAGAACATGTTATGCTTATTGCATCTTATTTACAAATGAAGAAGACTTACTCTCTTTCTTCTTGGATGATGCCTTTTTAGCAGCTTCCCTCTCCTCAGCCGCCTTCTTTTCCTCCTCTGTCTCATCACCAAAGAGATCCAAGTCGTCGTCGTCATCTTCAGCAGCAGCCTGAAAGTTCCAAAGAGGTAAGATAAAGATTATACAAAAATATTAATAATACAAGTATTAGAGAAAGTGAAATCCAGGACGTCCTTTAAATGGTAGGACTGCCTCTAAAATTGTTCAAATACCCATCAACATTCATTAAGAATATTTAAGTCTTTCTGGACGTCCTGATTTTCCTTAATCCCACTAAGTATTAAGTACTTAAAACATATTTGTAGAAGCTGGATGTCAGGGATTCAGTTCACCAACCCCACATATAACAAAAGTAACTAACCAGATTATCACCCCCATAAAGTGATATGGACTCAACAGAAATTTCCAATATCCAAAACAACATATTTCTTAGCAATGAACCCTCTTTTTGCAAAGAATTACCGAATTACATTCCTTCCTATGGTACTCAGGTACCCACAATATACTTGAAAAGCATAATTACGAACTAAAGTCATTCACTAGAACTAGAGTAAAAATACAAACTTTAATCGAGCCAGAACACACCTTAGCTGGAGCACCTTTACCACCAATTCTTACACCAACAGCCTTTCCAGGGAAACTACAAAAAAGTAAATTATACAACAGACTCAGAGCCACAACAATCATCATCAGAATACCAACAAAACATGGATGAGACCAAGTTCCAAACTTGTACTGATTATCGGGCAAGGCAATACATCGAAAACAAAAAAGGATGAAGAAATTAGTACCTCTTGGCAAGATGTGAAGATACAGACTCGTACCACCTGCTAGCATTGGGGAAGCAATCGCCAGGTTTCCCCAAAACAGCAGCATAGACTTTTATATCATCCTTGGACAACTTACCCCTGTGAAGATGCACACTTCAATAAATTTTGATTTTCGAAATAGAGTAATTGCTGCTGTAAACCGAAGGAAAAGAGAGAATACCCAGAGATGTAAGTCTTTCCGGCGAGGTACTCATCGAGTGACTTGAGGCCTGCCTCGGTGTGGAGATGGGAGAAGGTGACAGCCATTGACGTGATGCCAAGAGAATCGAAGTTGCAGGAAGAGTCAGTCTGCGAAGTGCGAAAGCTTGGCTAAGATCTGGCTTCAGAGAGAAGTATATATAGATACGAGGAAAGCAAAGCAAAACCCTAGAAAGCATATTCTTTTGATGATTTGATAAGATCTTCGAGTTCGAGCGGAGGGCCCGACCCCCGGTTCGAACCTCGAATATCACTGGTCCACATCTAAATCGATCGACCATAATTCCGTTCCCGAATTGGATTTAATTTATGAGTTTGTTTACCATGTGCTATTGATGAATTAATTATTTTTTTAAAATTTAAATTTTACAAAAATAATAATAAAAGTTAATTTTATTTTTATTATTAATTTTACACGTACATTTTTAATTAAATAATTAATAAAATTAAAGTTATTTTTAATTTTTTAATATAAATTAATTAAAAAATACGATAAATATATATTTAACTTATCTTAAAACACAAGTTAAAAATTCTTTTAATTTATTACATAGTATTTTATTTAAATACTGATGTAGTTTCAAAAAAGAGTTTTTAGTTTATGCCCTAATGATGTAAAGTAATCATTAAAAACTAATTATGTAAATATTTTATTTTCACTATAATTAAAAGATAACAGATTTCATTAGTTCAATTTGGTTTTGTGAGTCAAGTGGTTTTAGTCATTTTTGTAAAGTTTATATCCCCATTTTCAAGGACAACGGTTCGAACTGTCCCATGACTAAAATGTTTAAAACAAAAAAAAAAAAAAAATTTCATCA